CCCTTTCGTTCATTATATACGGTTTTATAGAATTTCCTCGGTGCTTAAAAATCAGTTATTCGCGGTTTTTTTTTTTTTTTTTCGGAGAGAAATCTCAAGCCAGGCGACCAAAGTCGAGAAAGCCATTCCTGTTTCCACCCTTTTGAGTGCAACCCTCTTATCCTCTTTCCCGCTTTCTCCGGGGCCGAACAAGCGGAGGATTCGGAGCCGTCCCTCCGCCTTGCCGAATCTGCTCGGCGCGTGTCGCGAATTTCAAATGGCACCCCCCCTCGTGCTCCGATTTTTCGCTCGGAATCGCCTCGCGTCTCTTTTCCCCGTTTCCGGGGTAAGCATTCTGTCCGGCTCCGCATTCGATAACTCTCGCAAATCCCGGCTTATCTGAAAAGCGAGCGATACGTCAACGCGCATCGCAATGTCGGAGGGTCTCGAAATCGAGATTTCCCCTCGAGGGGAAAAAAAAAAAAGAAAAAAAAATCTCCACTCGTGACGCTTTCACGTGTCAACGAAAAGAACAGACCCCGCAATTTTTGTCCTAACCCCTGCCTTGAATTTAGATTCAATAAATCAAATAAACGTCGGGAAAGGAAATCATCCCCGACACTTTTATCCCAACCTTCGCCTCGGATTTCTATGAAAACGGACATAAAGAATCATTTTTAACGAGGAGGGATGGAATTCAGGGGTAGATGAATTAGTACTCCGAGTATGTAATCCGAAGGGAGACTCGAGGCAAAATGGGATCGGCAGCCATCTTGCGAACCATCCCCATCACAGGGGATGAGCTGTGGGGGGGATCGCCCCCGAGCGTATCTTGCAACCCTTATTTCTTAGTCCGAAGTCAGGGGTCTCTTTCTTGTCGCACAATTCTACTTATCCGAGTACCGCGTACGTGCCCCCTCGCCCCCGCCCCTCCGGGGGCTCGAAAATCTAGCCTAAGGTTTAACCGCGACCCCAACTAATCTCAAAGTGTAATCTCTCGGAGGATCGCTCCGCATAATTCCACCCCTCGTGCCCTCCCACCGGGAGAAACGTAGAGAAAGAGAGCCCCCCCCCACGGGGGGGGGAGATCCCCATTCTTCTCGATCTGAAATTCCGAAATTCCTGGACGAGGCAGCGGAATTCCGCCGTATTCAGGAGCTGGTAAAACGTGAAAAAGGGGCGCCCCACCCTCTGCCCCACCCCCAGGGGGTGAAACGAGAAACGCGAGGTGGGGCTCGGATCCCGAAATAATTGGAAAGCCGTTCTTTTGATTGTCGAGGGGTGGATAAAAGGGGGTGGTAATCGCGGATTAGAGCCCTTTGGAAAAATTGGGAGGAATTGTCGAAGGATTTATGGGGGGAGGGTAGAGGGGGGGAATTAATTGTAAAAGACGCCGGAATATTATATAAAACAGCTTTTTAGCCGGAAAGTGCTTTAGAACTGTAAAGGGGGAAGGAAAACGTGAGCCTTTGATCGTCCGGGACTTTTCCGCGCGAGAATTCGCCCTATTTCCGGCAATTTAATATTCCCCCCCCCCCCCTCCCACCGGAGAAGAAACACATTTTCGCGCATTCCTCTCCCTGGATGCTCCTCGTCTCTCGCTCTTGGTATATTTCCCTGCTCGGAAATGCGCGCCTCTGCAATTTTTCCACCCCCGCCGGTTGGGCCGACTTTGAAAGCTCCTCGCAAACCGCCCCTCTGGATTATCCGCCGTCTTTGTGCGAGGGGGACTGGGGGAACTGCCCCAGTTCCATCTTTCGCCGCTTTCCATTATCGTTATCGCCCCACCGATCCCTGCTTCTTGACGGATGCTGCGAAGAGGCGCTCTTTCGGCGCCCCACGTGATCCAACATGGCGGCAGCCTGGGCGAAGAGGAGAAACTCCACCTCGCGAGTTATGAGCCTCGCCAAGGACGAAATATGGCTGCTAAGGCCTTCCTGAGGGCATCGGGACGCGCCTCGAATCTGAACCCTCCAGAAAATTATAGGGTTGGACCTCGCGCGCCATCCTGGCTAATCCTGCCGTATAATTAACCGGCGGCAACCGTCCGGCTTCGTGCCGGCCGCCGCCATTACTCACTGTTAAGCTCCCTACGACACTCGCGCGCGACTCCACCGTTAGGTATATCGCGTTCCCTCGAGTGCATGGAAAAAATCCGAAAAACCAGACTTTCGAAATCGAGTCGCGACCCCTTGATAACTGTCACGTTCAAAAGAAATTATTCTCGCAAGAAAGAGATATACAAAGTCTGGGGAAATAATTTAACTCGTGTCTGGAAATGAGCATTTCCGTGGACACCCGACCAGGCCAATTACCCGTTTAATTGCACCCGCGAGTGCTTCACCTGGGTCGAAATTAGACGGGGGTGCTCTTTCACTCTCGGGGAGACCTTTTGAAGCTCCTTCAGAGGGATTCACAGACTCGGGGGTAAACGTTTTCTCGGACGCGAGCGTCTGACATGGCCTCTTAGGATAAAAGGAAGGCTTCCCGAAAAAGAATGCCCATGTAGAACCGTTAAGGGGATGCCACGTCGACGTCGGGCCAAGGGGATGGAAACGCGCCTCAAAGGGCCTTCGAGTTGGGGCGCGTGCACAAGTGGCCGCGCGTTTTCTCGCCAACGAAATCCCGGACGAATCCGGATACTTGGTCTTCATCCCTCCAGACCCTGTCTTCACGTGTTCTTCCTGTATCCAGAAAATTCCACATCCTTCTCCCATTTTTACATTTTTTTTTTTACATTTTTACACATCTTTTTCCCTTGGAAACCCGTTCTATCCTAACCCTTTCGGTTTATACTCCAGGCTCTCGACAAGTTTTACCGCCGTTTCCCACTCGTTATTTTCTTTTTCGCATTCTCTTTTCTGGGAACTTTTTCCATCCTAACCGTTTTGATTATAATCCAGGGTTTCCAGGAATTTCTCCTGCTTTTTTCCATTTTTTTTCACACCCTCTCCCATTCCCTTCTCACGTTCTCTTCTCTGGCAACTTTTTCCATCCGAACCGTTTTGATCGTAATCGAGGTTTTTCAGGAATTTCACACTCTTTTTTTTCCTCACTTTTCAGCCCGTGAGAACCTTTTTCCACCCCCGCGATAATTGGGACGTCTAGGAATAGAGTATACATGTCGTGAGACGTGTCTTTTATACATCGAACGAAATTCCTAGTCCGGAAATAAAAACCAGAGAGGAGTCGTTTCGTCCCATCGATTCCAAGATGGCGGCGCCGCTCCCCGCGGCGCGTCCGGAATTCTCATTTCGCGCGGCCGCGCAATTTGCAGTTTTGCTCGGCGTTGATTAAGATGCTTAATCTGTGCGAGCAGCCCCGCCCCGGGTTCTCATCACCCACGGGGGATTATTTCCCGGCCAGGTCGGGTTTAAAACTTGAAAAACCATTCGCCGGTTTAACCGCTCCTTCGGCCGAGAGAGGTCGCCGCGATAACTTGGAGGACATTTTGCAAATTACTCGCAAATTCCCTCTTCCATCCCGGAGGCGCGTCCCGGTACACCCCGGAAAGCGAGGAAACACCCGAGCCCCGGGAAAAGAAAATGAAAATACAATTTCGAAAAGGGAAAGTGGCTTTTATTCCCCCTAGAGATGGACCCTCCATTTTCGGAGAACGTCCCTAGGGAAATCCTTTGTCCCGACTCTCTGGAGGGATTTTTCCGAGCCGAGAGCAGGTTAGGACACCCCTGTCCATTTCCGCCGTTTTCCCCGTTTTCCGCGTTTTGTCCGACGTTTTCGAGGGTGCATTCTCCTCCTCATCCCTCGGGATCCGGATAATGAACCTCTTAGGCGGAACAACCCCTTATTATTATCATCCAGCGACGGAGATAAATCCCAAATTCCATGAAATTAATGTATTTCTTTCGAATCAACTCGGCAGAAAAAAAATCAAAACTCCCACAAGAATTAACAATCACCGCCAAATATTCCCCGTCCATTAATTATTTTTAAAAGAAATTAGAAAAATACGCGGAATCCAAAATGTAGCGCCTTCGCCTCCAATTATAAGAGGGATCAATTTGTCGGGGGTGAGAATGCCCCCCCTGGAATTAGTCTCGTTAATGAGACTCTAATCTGCCCCCCCCTCGTTTGCGGTTCGACAGGTGTGGGGGGGTGATTCCCCCCTACTCATCCCGTTTCCCCCCTCGCCGGTAATTAAAATGCTTCTTAACTGAATTAGGAATGGGGAAGGGTGTGGGTGTTGGGGGGACATCGCCCCCGGAATCTCGCACCGAAATTAGTTATCACGAAGCCGCTTCGACGCTTCCGGTCCCATGAACCCCCCCTCTTCGTGAGGATCTAAGAAATTATTTATTACCACGGCGTCGCGACGCCGACGCTTGTCCAAGACGCCTCGTCTCTGCTGGGAGACTTGATATCCTGGATTTTCTTTTTTATCCCCGCATTTTCCTTTCAAATCTCGGTACAGATTTTTTTCTTAATTTGTTAATTAACTGCTGAAATTAGGATAATTGTTTCGACGGTAGAACACGTTACAAAGTGACGAGAATTTGGTACAAGAAAAAGGATTTTTCATTTTCGGAAAAGTAGGTACCAACTTCACGGGCAGGAAAAGTCCCGCGAGGCGTCGCGACGCTCGAAAGTCATTCTCTAGGCGCGCCTGCTGCGGAATTCCTCTTGTCGAAAACGAGTTGGCAAATTAGTTCGGGGGATGGTTCCCGAAGTTGCTGGATTGCCCCCGCACCCCCCGGGGGGGGACTACAGAATGGAGAGACGTCCCGGAAAATAGGTCCGTCCCTAGGGAGCATTGTTTCCACGGGACGTATATGACGATAAACATTGTCGGGTCCATTGTCAATCGACCAGGTTCCAATTTCCGATTTCTGCTCCGAGTTTCGATTAATCCGATAGCTGCATGTAATTTTAGAATTCATTCGTACGTTTTGCTTATATTTTTATCGAACTCTGCGTCGATGTTTCTTCGTCAATTCGCCTGATCTGATTTTTAATTGAAATTCCGAATTTCATTAGCACACCTCTTTTTATTTCTGTTTCAGACTGGACGCCGAGAAGTTCGAGCTGATAAACGTAAGTTGACAACGGTTATGATTTTTTATATTTTTTTAGCGACGAACTGAGTATTCGCGAGGGGGTCACCGAAAACTATCAGGGGTTGTAATTTCATCCCCCTGGAGGGAGTTTCCCCGGAAATGGTATTATTTGCCGGGGAAACACTCGATTATACGGCGCCGATTGTTTCGAGGAGGATTTATAGATCCCCTTTGGGATGATCGAAAATGCGTAACCAAATATCGTTATCATAAATTCGGAGTGTTTTTCGACGGGGGTTGAAATTTTCCGATTTTGGAATTCGAAAAGCAGGACCCCTCGACCGAGGGCAATTTCCACTGAGGTGAACGCAAATTGCAAAAGTGGATAATAAACAATGATTTTTCCTCCGGGTATGTATTAGCGGTTTTTACTATATTTTCTGGAGTTCGCCTCGTAGGGGTGAAAAGTCGCGGAACTACCCCCGTGGGTCGACAAGGGGCGAATAGCTTGACGGATTACCTCGGGGTTAACGAAATCGAAGAGTGGGCTGGGGGTTGGCTCGAAATTTCGAAAACTACCCCTGTAACCAGGACCAACTTTGCGGGGGTTCACGAAAGTTGGTCGTTTAACGGCGCAAAATGAATTCCCTCGTTAACTCGTCGGTCACTGTATTATTTCCTCCCCGGAAATTTTCAACCCCCCCGCGAAATCCTCGGATGAAAAATTGCGTCTTTCGACGTTTAATTCCTAATTTTTTCTACAACATTGATTAATTATTTTGTTCTCTTTCTGGACGAGTGAGCTGGAATTAATGAGTCTGAGCTCGTCAGAGGGGTGGTCGAATTTTCTGAAAACCACCCCTAAACGATATTCCACATTTCATTCGACATTTTTTGCTTCATTTTATTTCTCCAGAAGTGTGAAAAAATTAGGACGAGGAAGTTGGAATTATCGACTGCGAGGGGTCTCGTCGAAGGGGTGGTCGGATCCAGAAACTACCCCCAGCAGAGATTCGTTATTTTCAAGGCTTCTTTTTCAACCTCCTCGAAGTCGAAACGGCCGCCAATTAGGGATTTAATGAAAAGCAAGGAACCAAGAGGCGGTAGCAGGGGTAGTTTGAAATTTCGAAAACTACCCCCGTGGAGCGCCGAGCCGTGCACCCTATATGAGAGTTAAGCGTTTAACGGCGCAAAATTAATTTTCTCCCGGCCGTTAGTTCGTTAGTTACCGTATTATTTGCCCTCGTGAACCCGCGCCCCGAGAACCACCCCCGGAACTTTTGCAACCCTTGGCGGCCATGCGAACTCGTAAATCTCGAGCCGGCCATCGGACCGTCCACCCTTGCGTTCCGCAACGTTTGCCCCGAAATCCGGCAAAAGAGAAAACGCGATAAACCAACAGGAAAGGGGACGAAATTTTCGCAAAGTCTGGCCGAGGTGAATTTCGGAAAAAACGTCCACCCTCCATTTTCCCGATTTTAAAGCGCGCAAAGGTCCCGGCCAACTCATTTAAGTTATTTAATTAGTTTCGCGGGGGGGTTAATCCAACTTATTTAATTAGTTTTGCGAAATAATCGCAGCCCACCGAGGGCCGATTCGATCCCCTCGGCGGGGCGATATTGTTTTCCAGAATTATTCAATTTTCGGGAATTTTCCGGGGATGAATTTTAGTTCTTCCTCGGACAAATACGCAGGTTTAAAGATTTATTTCTCCGGGGTTGATATCATTTGTGGTTGGATTCGCACATCTCACACGGCTTGGGGGAGGATCCTTTTACGGGCTGAAGTCGCATGGAACTCTCAAGTCCGAAGTTCTCTGGGGAAAATGGCGGCCTGGGGGGTGCTATTAGTAAATTATCAGCGTCTTGGGGGTGGAACGTAACGAGGCTCCGCAGCCTTATCTCCACCCTTCAGGCCCGCGCCCTCTTCGGGGGTGCTTTCCCCCGAGAGCTCCGGAAGCGGTAGGTGTTGAACGCCGGTTTCGCATACCCTTTACCCCAAATCCCATCCCCATGGAAACGCTTTCGGCGTTAAACGCCCCCCAACCCCCGTGAGACTTCATCTCGAGGTGGCTCGTCTAATCGTCGATTTGCAATGTATTCTTCCTGGGACATAAAAAATATAAATAACCCTTCCACTCTTCTACTTAAATGTCGGAAATTAAATTCCACCCCTTGTATCTTCACTTCTCGTTAATGGCTAAATTCAAGCTCTCGTATTCCCGATTATTTAATTATCATCTTAAGGCCTCCATATTCCCGTAAGAAATTTTCAAAAGACTATTCGCAGAAAAATTCCAAAAGCAGTACTCGCTCATCCCCTTAATTCCTTCCGTTTAATCAACCCCGAAGAATGCAGTGCACCACAGAGGGTGGCTCGGATTCGGCGACAAGGGGTGATTGACAAAGGCCAGCAAATAGGAGCGATTAGCCACGAAGTGGTCGCTAATGAATTTAGCCCGCAGGTGGGGAGGTGCGTTCGCGAACACGAACCACCCCTTGTTCACCGGGGGCGATAAGGGAAGGTAACCCCGGTGGACAAGAACCACCCCCAGGGGTGAGTCGACCCTCTCGTGCACGCACCCCCTGTTCCAAAGGTTTACCTTGGGTGTACCTCGGGGGTAACCCACCCCCCACCCTCGTATCATGTTCGTCCATGCGGTGTAAACATGTCTTGTACAATGCACAAGGGTAGCACACATAAATGCACATCGATGCCGCGTTTGTCTCTGCGAGCGAGGGTGTGTAGCAAAGTGTACCCCTGCACCCCTGCACCCCTGGGGGCACCCCATTTAAAATCATCCGCGATCACGGACACTGTATCAAAAACTTTTTTTATTTCAGTTTACTTGAGTTCATTTGAATTTATTTGAATGAAAGAATTATTCTTTGAGATAACAAAATATTTCCCTTGGTTCAATGGACTGTTTTTTATCTCGGGGTGGGGATGGTTAAATTGGCCACTACTTATCCGGCGAGCAAAGCTTGTCCCATGAATAAAATGCCAGTTATTGAGCTCGTAAATTCCGAAGAGCTCGTAGCCCGTTAACGCCACCCCGAGGGTGGGGGCTGGGGTGGGGCGACGCACCCCCAAAGACGAGGCGCGAGGGTGGCCGATTTATTCAGAAATTCCCGGCCGCGATACGACTTCCCTTTGCCTTTTCGAATAATTGCCGGGAGTAAATGAATCTAATTGCATCTGAATTTTAAATTCCTCAAATTTCCATCTAATATATAAACATTTGCCCCCTTGCGAGGGAGGTTCCCACGACGGGGATGACGGGACATAAAATCCCCGGAATCTCAGGACCGCACATTCCTCCCCATATATTGACTTTAAAAATTCCAAAATTGAGGCACTAATAAAAATTCCTACCTTGGAATTTTTACCCCTCTTTTTTCAATATTGGTCCGGGGTACATTTCATTGATATAATTTTTTTTTTTTTTTTTCTGTGCCGAGGAAGAGGTGAATTTTTCTGGGGAGTTAAAATTATTCCTCGACTCTGTGATCGCTCGTCGAAGGGTGGTCGGGAAAGGGTTGAAGGGTTGGAGAGGAGGCGAAGTGCGCGAAGTACGTGGGGCGTGCTGATAAGACGAGCCAGGAGTTATGGAATATTGTGATAAAGGAGGCGGCCACCCTTCCCTCGGGTGATAAACGCGCCGCGGGTGTTTCGCTCCGGGAAAGAGGGTGGAAAATACCGTGAAGTCTGGAAAACGAGGGCGGAATAGACTAACGAGGATAAAGGGATGCCGTAATGCCAGTGGCGCTGAAATTCGTGTTCGCTTAAGAAAAATTCATCCCCCAGAGGCGGAAGACAAAGGAATCATTTCATATTCACGTCTCTCCATAAATTCTCGAAATGCGAATTCCAAGACCACGTCCTCTATTTTTCTATAATTTACTTGAAAAACATTAATAAAATTACCGAATTCTCCCCCATAAAAAAAAACCAACCTATCCAAAAGAAATCGTTGCACAAATCGGGAAGACTGATTTTCAGCTGTTATATGAACTAATAAATGAACGATAATTAGTACACTTTTGATTTCATCGGGAGTTGAGAAGATCAATTCTTCTCGCGTCCAGGAATTAATTACAGAATACTTTGCCTGCATTTCTCGTCCCGTCCCGTCGTCAAATTTTTGGATCGGCGGAAAATCCAAGAATTTAGGCGCACCGCGGCGAAACTTTATGGGGGGCCGGAAATCTTGAAATTCCGCGAGCGAGGGATCTTGGAATTCACCCCGAGTGCCAGCCACCCCCGCCAGACCAGGAACACTTTTCCCAAATATTGGGAAAAATAATAATAGAATTTCCGCCCGCCCTCGAAATCGCTGGAACCACATTTCCCGTTCTTCGCGAATGCTTTCCTCTTTTTCCCATTTTTTTTTTCTCCCAGCCTACCTCTGGGGAATAAAAAATAGAGGGAGGAGGAAAAGTGGGAAAAATATGGCAGGCGGTCGATTCCGGTCCATTCGACGCAACGAAACCGGAAGTTGCCCCCTCCGGCTTTTATCTCCCTTTTATTTCCGTTTTATTTCGACCGCCGTCCTCCGATACGTATTCATCGCGGAAATCGAGCGTAATGGGGCGCAAAATGCCCCTAAACATTCACCCTTTGGGCCGGCATTTGATTCGGCATCGCGAATGGCCATCCCTTAGCCATCCGTCGATTCCACCCCCTCACCCTCCCGCCATTTACGTGAGCGTTTCCGCCGCGCTTTGACGCGTTTTCCGCACCCCGAGGTCCATTAAACTAATTCAAGCCTCCTCACGGAAGGGCGAAAATCGTCGCCTCCGAACTTTTTTCCAAATTTTCTCGCATTCGCCAAATTAAATCCTCCGTTATCCGGTAAACGAAAAGTGGGAATTTTGAAAAATTAAGGGGGCGAGAAAAATGAAAAACTGCATCCCAAGCTCCATCAAACTAATCCATCTCCTTCTCTAAGGGGAAGTTCGAAAATCCTCGCCATTAATCTTATTTAAAAAATGCTCAATATCGCCGAATTAAATGCGGGGGAGAATTAATTTCCAGGTCCGAGAAACGAGCAGCGGGAATTTCGAAAAAGGGAGGAAAAACGAGGACGGCGGGGGACCTTCGCGGATAATTATGCAAAATCCGCGGCGGAGGAAATTTGCGGAAGCCCGGGGAAATTCCACCCCTTGATTCTAAATGATCTACCCCCTGGGGTCGGCCTGCGGCGGGCAACCCCCTCGAAAATCGAGGCCGGGACGTTATTTCGGAAACAGCCCTCCGGGGCGCACCTGTTTTAATTATCAACCGACGCCATTAGGCCGATATTAACGAGGGGTGCCCCATCCCTCTCCCTCCTTTCCGCGAGCGTAGTGCTCGCCATTTTTCCTTGGGCCGACTTAAATCCTCCCCTTCCTTGCCCTACATTTTCATTTTCTAAATCACCCAGGATGGCCTGGAGAACCGAATTTGTAACTTACACGATTATCAATATTGCAAGTCGCCTAATCTTGTCGAACTTAATTTAGGTTAAAATCCTAAGGTCCCCTCGGGGGATGGTTCCCTTGCATCCCCGGAAATGCACGTATCGCCCTCACATGAGTGGTCCCGGGCCGCGGGGGCAACTTTTGTTCCACTATTTACCCCGCGGAACAAAACACCATTTTCCCCCCCGCCACCCCTCCGACTTCATAAAGCTCGGTCCCGTTTGTTGAGCTTGCATTATTCCCCGGGCTTTTTTCGCCCCCTGCTTCTCCTACCCCCCGGCGATCTGTACGCGCGCGATGCTTCACTTTTCCTTCTCTTCTACCCCTTTCTCTCCTTTTCTTTTATTTCTCGAGCGCGCGGCACATACGGCCCGCTAATGCAATTCAGAGGACGCTGCCGGTCTGTTTCCAAGCCGGCGCGACTCTGAATATCCCTGCGAGTCTGTTTTCCATTTTTACCCCTTTTTTTATCTCCCTCTTCGCTCCTCCCCCTTTACCCTTTTTCACGGAGTACAGATGGTCCCCGAAATGCGAAGAGGAGGAAGGGCGCACGCGGCTCCGGGAAAATAGGGTTTGGAAAATACTTTACGGATTTGTTTCTCGCGGGAGGGAACTCCGCTCTTATCACTCCCCTTACCTGGCCACGTCCTGATCGAATTGGCCTTTACCTTACACCTGTCACTTGGGCTCAGGAGTTTATTTAACTCCTCGGCTCACAATGTCGTGTTCGGAGACCTGATACGCAAAATCGTAAGGTAAGGGGTTAAACCCCTGGTTTTAGTAAACCGTCGGTGTAAACGAGCACGTGTCGCCTTTGGATGGTTCACTCGAAATGTACGCATAGGATGGTCTCGGTACGTCTTCGTTTATATACCTTGTACCCTGTTCCAAGTAGGTCGGAAGCTGCTCTCCTACATTTTGCATTTCCTGGTTTACCCGGTTCTTTTTTTAAGCCTTTCTTTTTTTTTTTTCGATTCATTTCCAAAGAACGAGGCGACACGCCACGACCCTCTGGAGCCGTAGGGTATGTTCGGATAAGGGAGGTCTTGAAATGGGTCGACGTACGTCCTTATGTACCCACCTCTGTACATGTTTTATGTGCAACCGTATGTACCCCGCATTACCGGCAGTCCGTGCTCTAATTAATGCCCGGCCTTGTTATCGGAGGTCGCGATTTTGTTCTTTTCTTTTTCTTTTTTTTTTATTATTTTCTCCCGTTTCCAAACAGTGCCGTCGTCATGTTGCGATTTTTTTCCTCGTTATTTTTTCCCCATTCCCAAACAATGCCGTTGCCAGGTGGGGATTTTTTTTTCTCGGTGCCATTTTATCGGGATGTTAATTATTTTTCCTCTCATTGCAGAACACGATCCTGCCGGAAGCTGTGCACTTTTGGGAGAGGGCATTGATGGTTCGAGAGACGAGGAACACGATTCGATTGAATCGGTGAGTCGCTTAACAACACCTGTACAAATACAACATCGAACAAAAACCGCAACACCGCTCATGTATTTCGGGACGAGAGAGGGTTGAAAATGCATAAAACCGCGAAAAGTGAAGAGGGTTGACGGGAGGTACATCATCTCCCCCCTTTCCATCCCGCTGAAGAAAACTCGGCGGTTTCTTTGAATCTTCATCCCTCCCCCCGATCTCGTTCAATCACCCAACTCATACATCAACCTCCGGAAAATAAAGCAGATCGAATCGGAATGAACGGAATCGACACGCGAGGGAATGAGGAAAAACAACCCCCCACAGGTGTACCCCCGCCCCCGATTTGCCGGGTTTCTCTCGTTTCAAACCTCCCCTAGAAACGGGCTTTTATATACGCGCGAGTACCGACCAATGTGATTCGCTGAAAGTAAAGATAGGTATTAAACAGAGAGAGGGAGAGAAAAAGGAAAACTTAGGAACACGTCAACGAGTATTGAAACGAGGAAGGGGGGCTCGTCGCGACTCGACGCCTCCTCGAGGGGAGGATTTATGCTCGCGTATGTGCCGCGATCCCTTCCAGCTCTTTCAACCCTTCCGCGTATTTGCATGAATGGTTCCGAATGACGTCCTACCGGCGCATCTACCACCCCCCCGGTGAATACGTGCCGGCCGGTACTCGTATTTGCGTTACGTCGCACCCTATGATTTATTGCCGCGGACAGGAGGCAGCCGAATGGGTGGCGGTGGGTGGAGGGCGATGTGGGCGGGGGGGCAATGCGGCGATGGAGGGGATAGGACGCGGGGTGGCGAGTATGCGGGCGCCGAAGGGCCTCAGTCCGCTCCGGACTGCGGGCGGCGGCGGGTCGCGGGGGGCGCTCCGCGGTCCCGCGAATGCATGCCGTGGGCCCGCGGCTTTTTGCCGCGGCGTTTTGGCCGCGCCGGGGCGCGAGTAATTTAAATTAATGCACGTCAGCCCGGGGAATAAACAGTACCTGCGATGTACCGGCCGCCGACCCCTTATTACGCGACTCCCCCGGGGTGGGAAGGGGGGTATTACGGATTTGACAAACGACGTCGCAGAGATCTCCGGGACTACGGAATGCCTTACTTAATGCCTATTTAAGTGTTCTTGAATTTTTTTTTCTCCCGGTCATTTTGAATTTAGGGAGAAATTCTAGGTGACCTGTTATGGAAATTTGGTAACGACGGAGGGCGACGGCGAATTGCGGATTCGCTTTCGATCGAGGGACGCGCGCACTTTTCAAGTTTAAATTGTACTGTCGCGTAAATATATCGACGGAAAACTCGGCCCTGTCTGTAGGAGAGAAAAGTGAGAGAAATAGACGGGAAGAGGGGGCAGACGCGTACGGCACGGCTGGCCGTATAGCGATCTCTCGGCAGCTTCTCACTTCTATTGCTTCGAATAAAATTCCAGGTGGGGAACTATCGGAAAACTCGGAACTGCTATTCCTATCCCTCGCCGTTTACGTAGCCGCGTCTCTCTCGCTCCGCCGGCGCCCGGGCGCGCTCCGTCTCGCTCGCACTCGCGAGCGTTATGACGAACCCGCTTCGGCGGATATTCGGGAATACATATATTCCCGATAAATATATATAATCTCGATTAAATATACATATATATAAATACCCATATATATGTCTGTTTATAAATCGGAAAGGTACTTACTGCTGACGCGCGATTTCCGGAAAATATTTCTCCAACCCCGGGAAGGATAAATCGTTCGGCAAATTTCGCGGCGGAAAATTAAAGGGAGGGAAAAGGAAGGGAAGCGAAACGCGAAAAACTGACGCAGTGCGGGTGAAAGATCGTTTGGTATCGCGTTAGGGATTTTAACGGTTGGAAATCGATATTTCATAACGAAGTATCTAATATTTTCGGTTCTTTTATTCGAGATCGATCGCGATCGCCGGTTGCGCAAGATGGCCGCGTGATGTATTTCGTTTGCCGACCTCGTACGTGGTTGGGGACTTTCTCCTCGGGACGAGGAAGACCCGACATATGACACCGGGGACGGGATGATGTAACGTTCACCGTGCACCGCTTTTTATTGGGCCTCGGTAAATCACGAGAAGCAATTAGGGTCGCGCTTCCGGTATCGGGTAACCGGATCGTCGCTGCGGGACGTTGCGGTTACATGGGAAAGTCCCTAGCCGACCCGGCGGGCCCGCCGCGGTTCCAACGGAAATGCCCCTCCCGGCCACGAATACGGTCTCGTAAATTTACCGCCAGAAAGGGCCGAGCCAATTTAACGTTTCAAAAAGGGAAGACTCGGAAAGAACGGTCCTCAACGCATCGCAATTTCCTCCGTATCTCGGGATTTAGTTGCGACAGAGACCTCCGACTATGCTCATTCCATCGTGCCAGAGATTCCGCATCGATTGGCGCCGGTTAGATTCGATTTGGAACGGTAATTATCGATTTGGATGCGGGGAAAGTCGCGAGGTGTAGCGCGCTAGTTCCGGGACGCCTCCGGGCGCGGCGCTGGCGTCGCTTACCAGCGGAAATTGGAGGGGAGTCTGCAGAAAGGTTTCGCCGGGGGAAATCGGCTGTCTGGACGTTTCGATTGTTCGATTTCGCCCTGACGAGAGGAGCAACCGGCATTGGGTCTCTTTCTTTTCGAGGGCCGGCAAGTTTCGCGGAACTTTTTCATCTAAAGTTTTCCGTTCCCTGTCTCTCCGGTGCCCGTAGTCCATGAGAATCCTGCCTCTCTCCCTCTCTCTCTTTCTCTCCCCGTCTTTGGACCGCTTTTTATCCCTTTTCTTCCGCCAAGTCCCGTCGTTAAGCCAACTTCCGATCGCGGAAACATCCGACGATTCCTCCGGGCGGGGCCGGAAGAACAAACAGCTATCCCCTTAATGGCCGATTCCTTCCTTCGTCCTCGGTGGAAAATGAAAAGAGAGCCCGAAGGAAACACCGGGACTCGTATATCAACCGACTGAAGCCCCAAGAATTACCCCTTGACCCTTAATCCGGAAAATGATCGCTCGAGTGCGGATAAATACGGCGACTTATCGCAAAAATAACATAGGAGATTTTGCTTCACTCTAAAAAGAAGAAAATTTAACCTGCAATTATTTGATCTAGATTATTGATAACCTTTATTTCAAATTACAAAACTCATTTTTGGGGTGGAAAAAGGGTTGGATAAATTCGAATCGAGGGTGGCGCGGATCCTCCCTTCTCGACATCCTTGGCTCCAAGGAGGCCCCGAAAGCTCCTTAAGAAAGCTCCTTAAGATACTTAGGTAAAACTTGCCAAGGCACTAATTATTCAAACTAATGGACAGAGTTTCCCGGGAACGCCGTGAATTATTGGCAAACAGCCGATTCCGGAGTCGAGTCCTATTAAAAGTTGCACAATCCTGATGCAGATGTTTATTTTATGCATTTTACAAAGTCCGGGGACACGGTCCGAGGCTAATTGAGCTTGTCCCCTGAAAATCTGAAGGAAAGAGTTTTTCCAGATTATTTAAAATAATTCATATCAAGGGACCATTTCGATTTTTGCGAGGAAAACCACGTTGGTATTGCGAAAGCACGGTCTTAAACCACCCCCTGTCCCCGTAGCAGGGGTCCACCGTATCCGAGATTACGAGGCCGTCGTTGCTAAGGCGTCCACGAAATTTAATAAAGCCTCCCCGGGTAGTCGAGGACGCCGTCGCAAGATGGCGCCGCGCGATTCCAATTATCGCGAGGCCGCAATCGACGGGTAGGCAATTTCGAAGTTATTGCGAGTGCCCCGGGGCTCTGGCGCGTTTTCCCCCGGCGTTTCTTTTTTTTTTCTTTATTTTTTTCCGCGTCCCGGGTCATTATTATATCATAATTCCATTTGGCCGCGTGGCATTAAACCGCGACGAGTCGCGCCGAGTGCTCGAACGAGGGAAAATGGCGGAAAGGGAAACGGAGGAGAGGGCTCGGATACTCCACCGAGGAGCTGGTAAACTCTAGGCGACGTTGTTTGGCCGTTTTTATTGCGCGGATGGCCGAGGAAACGGCTGCGAGTTACGTTTTACCGCGGAACTACGGAGAAGATGGCGGCGTCGCCGGGGCGCGTGCTCCTCGCAGTTGACACGGTTTATCGCGGTTTCCCTTACACGCGGGGAATGATTAACCTCGTGAATAAGGGGTGGGGAGTCTACTCGTTACATGTTATCTGCAGATTGAAACCCACGTAGGGTAGCTCTTGGATGGAGGGCCGCCATCTTGGTTCCACGGGACGCTTCGATTTTTTAAGACACGCGGCTCTTAACGAAAATGCACGTACAGGATGAAGTAATAAGCGGGATTTACAGTAAACTATTAACGGGACAATTCCCCAGTGAAATTTGGGACGCTAGGTCTAATTACTACATTTTATACGAAGATTAAACCCTGGTAGACAGTCCTCGAAAGGAGACGCGCCGCCATCTTGGTTCCGCGCGGCGCTACGTTTTAATAAACGTGCCTCGCCTGGATATGTACAAGATCGCGTAATAACCCCGATTTACAGTGGATAATTAACAATTCCCTCGGAGCAGGAGCCTGGCAGGATTTCCGACGCAAAACCGGGGGTGAAAACGAATTTGTTACGGATGCGCTCGGCAGGAAGACGCGGCAGCGCCATGACACTTTGGATTCGAGCCTCGCCCCGGCATCAGGGCGAGTTTGTAAATAAGGAGGGCCCTCTTCTTCCGGGCGGAGCCTTCCGCGAGGATGTGCTCGCTGAATAATGGATAAGTCTCCATCCGCGGATCCGGCGGGTACATCCGCGTCGTCATCCGCGCAGCTTCCGGGGTTCCTCCCGGAAAAACGTCGCCCCTCGAGGAGGGGGCATGGGACCTTTTGCAAAATTGATTCGCGTAACAAATTCCCGACCTACGTGCCCGACACCCCAGGTCGCGACTCGAAAGAGGTTAGGTCGACTGCGCCAGCTTTGCATGCGACTGACATGAATATCTATTCGTCAAGGATTAGTGACGCCATCTTGTGGGGTTCATCAACGGATATGTATGTTT